TCAACATAGATTATGCATGCAAGAACAAGAATTTAACAAGAACACTCATCTTTCCATTTTTCTTCAAAAACCCCTAATTTTCGGAATCTTTCCCAATCTTTTAAAATTTTATGAAAATCCTTTCAATACTATTGATGTCTCTTAATTACAGCAAGAATCGGAAATTCTTACCTTAAAATCGAAGAAGAAAATGGCCAAAAAGGAAGAAAACGTTCAAGCACCAAAGTCTAGCCAAGCCACCTTGATTGTGAAGGAGATGGTGTGAGCTTCAAGGAGGGAGGAGTTGTGATCTCCCGAAAGAAGGCAGGTGGTTTTCACGGTGTTCTTGGAGTAGTCCAAGGCAAGAGTTAAATAGGGAACTCTCATGGTTATATTGGGAATTATTTGGAATTTATGAAGTGAGGTGGAGAGAGGAGGCCGATGGTGGTGGTGCTTTGCTTCGGTGGAGAGAGATAGAGGAGACAAGCAATAGGTGTATGTGGAAGAAGAAGGAGAAATGAGAGTGTCTTTTGGGTTACTTTGAGTGTGGGATTATACAATTGATTAGGGTGTGCCAAGTGTAAAAACATGCACACTTTATTCACTAATTATTTTATTAAAAATAAACACAACTTGTATCAATACCACACACACACACACAATCCGAACACACACACACACACATACACCTTCGGTCATATATATATATATATATACTCAAACATATATGTATTGCATGTAGTAGTATATATATATATCTAGGTACGTATATGCATGTGCATGTATATATATATACATATATAATATAATCCACATAATTCCCCAAAAATGGAAATAAGTTATCAAATAAATAAGATATGCAATTATTCACGTAAACCACGTAAATCACGAAATTTCATAGTATTTTAAATTTACGGAATTTAAATCATATAAGTCACACATATAATAGCGCACGTAATTAATCACGTAAGAAACATAATTAAATCCACGTAATGCATATAATCACATAATAATACTCCCTAAGGGTTTTCGAGTTAGGAATATTAATCTCGGGTTTTAGGATTTTCGGTTTTGGAAAGGTGGGGTGTTACAATATATATATATATATATATATATATATATATATATATATATATATATATGGATGAGAAAAATATGTTCAAACGAATAATTAGAAATTTATATATACAATATATCTAACTGAAAATAAAAGAGAAACTTACTAGAAATGAGGCAGTAAGTCTTCCTTTTACAAAAGTATCCCAATCCTTGCTTGATTTCACATTTAAAGGCTTAAGGAGTTGGAATGCACGTGTCCTATTTGACAACTCATTGGCTTCAATTAGCTGTGTTGTAATTTTTGATTTATATTGCCTCCAGTATTTGCTCATCATTCTAAAAATAAAGCCTTTGTGTATATCATCCACAACAAATGATTGCTGCATATAAAACATTTGTTATTGAAACATCCAACTAAATAATGTTCAATATACTGAAAATGATTATTTATGATTACCTGAACTAAGGATCACATATCATTCTTCAAACTTTTCCAATTCTCCTTCTCAAGATTCTTCCATTCTATGATTATTGGGATATGCTGACGTGCTAAGGCACCAAGATACGATACAAATTTCTCTGAATTTGTACCGAATGGCTGTCCGTTTGAATTAAAACTCACTCGCATCTTTTCGACAAGCCCTCTAGAAACTTTATTTATCGTCGTTGGACCGCGTTTTTTCTTTATTTTATCCTTTGTCGGCTGGGTGTTGTTTGCGTTTCCTGTTGACTGCACAACATCATTCTCTTGCTGCAACACTACTTGTGGTAAGACCCCACTTCTTTCTAGTTGAGTCTCCTCATATTCGGTATCTTCATATTCATCAACAAGTGCACGTTTCTTTTGTTTTTTTTTACCATCTTTCTTGGAATTCTACACAACACAATACAATTAAAGATTTTAAGTTTAGTAATAGTTTGCTTTAAGACTAATGTCACTCTAAGAATATTTCATAAATAAAAAGAATGGGGGGGAGGGATTTTTAAATTTGCATTATAGTACAATATTTTTGTCCAAGTTCGAAAATAATTCGATATTTTTTAAAACTAATCGGAATTTCTAGGAATTAAATATATAATTCAAGTCCCATTTCAAAAAATGTCGGAAAAATTGGAATAAAAACCGCAGTTCCAAATTCGATTTTTTTCGGATTGAAATCGGCAGAACTTAAAAGTTTTATTTGGTGATTTTATTTTAATTAATTTGTAATGTTAATTCAAAGTAGTAAATAACATGTGCTTGCACGTTCTTCCTATGGAATCCATTAAACTTAATAGAACTAAGATCTATTTTTCTTGTAAATGCCCTCATTATATTAACCTAAACATGTTCGGTAAACCGAACTAGTTTAAGCATTAGACCCCCTAAGTTAGTCAACTAAAATAATATAGTATGAGAGTGCGTTTGGATGGAAGGATTTGGGAAGGGATTTGATTTGGGGAAGGGATTTGAAATGACTCCAATTTTGGAGTCATTTGAAATCCACCTCAATTGCTCAAAACATAACTAAAAAGGAGGGGTGTGGATTTGAAATCCATCCCCAAATCCCTCAATCCAAATAAGTCCAAGGGATTTGTTATTATGGATTTGAAATCCCTTCCCCAAATCCTTCCATCCAAATGCACCCTGAATTATAGTTCAAGAAGACATCAAAATTTCTTCCCTTTTTCCCCAGTTTTGTCAAACTAATTTAATTCTAATATTATGCCTTAAGAGCATGATTATTTGCTATATTTTTTTAATATAAAACTATCGTCGTCTTCTTAACAGGTAATATGCAATTTCAAAATAGATTTTTTTCTCAACTAGAATATAAATGCTTGTCCACTTTTAGTAACCATCTTGATATTATTACCTTTTTTCCCATACTCAAAACATGATCTTACGCAGAAAAATAACAGCACAAGAAACAATCCCTCACAACTTAAGAGGTCCCCAGATAGAATAAACTTACCAGAAGTTGTTCAAGTCTCCTTCCCCAGATATCACATGCCCAGTCATTAAATTTAAAAAAAAAATAGTAGATAAGATTATAACAGTCAACCTAAAGGTGAGTTGAAAAGTCTTTGAAAACAGAAACTAGGTCCCTGAATAAAAATTAGACCACAAAATATTAAAACACAGCCATTAAACAAAAAAATAGACTGAGAAAAAGTTAAAATTCAGTAATACTATGGTTCACAAAGCACTCCTTCAACACCCAATCGTGCATATTCTTCTTCTTCTCCATCATTCTCTTGTTCTTCTCCATTTTCATTGTTGTGAATTCCGCATATATTAATTGGAGGACATAACTCATGTTCAGTTTGATCACACATTTCCCACTCTTGAGAACTTCTTGGTGGGGATGCAACACGATATACCAACTAGAAGTCTCATCCACTTAAGAATAAAATACCTGTTTAGCTTGTGATGCTAAAATGAAAGGATCCTTTTGAAATTGAGTATGTCCTTCATGAAGGTTAACTAATGTAAACCCATCCTCGACTTTGATACCATTCCCAATGTTTGCCCAATCACATTTGAATAATGAAATTTCAAATGCACTATATGACAATACGATTATATTAGTCAAAACACCATAATATGTGACTTTCTCTTTAACCATTGTATTGTCTTTTGCACTAACTCTACAAATTGTCGCCGCCTTAAGTGAGACACCACTATTTTGTGTAGTAGTCTCTTTATCCTTGGTACGAAACCGGAGACCCTTTATAATCATCCCAGAATAAGAAGTAGCCCGCTGGGATGGACCACGTGCAAGCCAACTAAGAGTTGTTGAGATATTTTGTGAAACAATTTGATATCTAATCTGTCGAAGTTAAATATTAAGACAAGTCAAAAAAATGCAAAATAATTGTAACTTTTATATATATATATATATATATATATATATACACCCTCCATGTCCCTTATACCATGTCAGATCGAACTTGCACTTATTAATAAACATATAACCATACTAACAAACATATTCAAACCATTTTCTTCCTTAGAGTTTCTTATTCAAATAACTCACATAATCAATAAAAACATGAATAAAAAAAATTCATAATTCATCGACATTGTATCATCACAAATATCATTCAACAAACACGTATCACATACAAGAGAAGGGGATTATCATATTATTTCATATAACCTCTTTCACAGTTATACATTTACGTTAACATATAAGCATACGATAACCATACACATAATACATCAAATTCAAATCCACATACTCCATTCCAAAGAACTACAAAGAAATCGTATCAACTTTAGAAAATCTGGCAGCTTTGGTACTTCAACTTTGAAAATTCATATCTCTTAAACCGTAAATCAAAACCTTCTCAAATTTTCATACAACGTGTATATATATGTGAATTATACCATAGTAAAACATTTCTGTAAAATACTCATCAATGGAAGAGAAATGATTGACTTAGTACAGTACTACCAGCAGAATTTCAGAACAGGGCATTCAACTTAAAAAATACCAAATAAATCATTGTTTCAACAAAAGATCATGAAATTTTGCTGAGAATCAGTTTTATAAGTATATAATCATATCCAGTAAGAATCGCATGATTCGGAACAAGATAAAATCTAATTTCTTACATAATTCATAGATGACTCAGAAATTGTGCAGTTTCAGAAAATGGTTGATAACTTGAGCAATATAATTCCGATTTATGCATACTGTATATCAAAACGAAGCTAACATACATATCTACATGCACAATTAATTTTATAATTTTCAGAAATTAAATTGTGAGGCGTTACACTTCCAACCTTAGTATCGAACCATTCGTTGAAGGAATCTATGTGTTTCTTCTCCAACAACCCTTCATTTCTTTCCAAGCGAGGATCTACTTTCTTAAGTTCCTCCTTATGCAGTGCGTTATATATTTTTCACAAGAGTTTGAAAGTTAAAAGTAATGTTGTTAAAATAAAATCATACTGTATATACGGTTGAACATCTTCCGTGTTGAACAATACATATCAAAGGGCAACTTGTAGAAGTTCATATGAAAGATCAATTGGTTGCCCTTTCGAAATTGGACGTCCTTCTAACAACAAACTACTTTCGAATTATTCATTGCGAGCATTCCTCGAGCCCATATCATTAGCTTTTTTTATGTATTTGCTGCATAAGAAAGCACACTCTTCAACGATGTAGCACTCAACTATACAGCCCTCAGGTCGTGCACGATTCTTGACATACCATTTTAATACTTTCATATACCTAGAAACAACAAAACAAAATATAATATATATGAATTAGTTTTTCATTCTTATATATCAATTGTTATGACATTAATTCACATATTATACTTTACCTTTCAAATGGGTACATCCACCGATATTGTACTGGTCCACATAATCTAGCTTCTCGTCCCAAGTGAATGGTTAAATGAATCATAATATCAAAAAATGAAGGAGGAAAAAACCTTTCTAACATTCACAGAGTCTCAACAATGTCTTCCTCAAGATTTTCTAATTTGTCTCTATCTATGACTTTCTGACATAATTCATTAAAGAAGACGCACAATCTAAAAATTGCCGTTTTTGGTGCTTTAGGTAAAAGTCCCTTTAATGCCACCACTAACAATTGTTGCATAAGAACATGACAATCATGAGACTTAAGACCAATCAATTTGCAATCTGCCAATGAGACACAATTTGCAATATTGGAACCATAACCATCAGGCAACTTCAGATTGTAAAGTCGTTGGCAAAAAAAATAGTTTCTCTGCTTTAGATAAAGCGTGAGGTGCTGCGGGCAAATATAATCTATTTCCTCTCTTCTCAGGATGCAAGTCACGTCTAATTTGCATTTCTTCCAAGTCTTTACGAGAATTAAGTCCATCTTTTATTTTTCCCTTCTGATTCAAAAGTGTACCAAAAATACTCTCGCAAATATTTTTTTCAATGTGCATGACATCTAAGTTATGGCGCACCAAGAGATTCTACAAAAATACAAACATAAATAATTGTAAGTTGCATTGAATTTTATTAACTATGATAAGACAAAAAAAAAGGGATAGAAGAAAAATTACTGAAAATTTAAATGATAGCTCATATTACCTTCCAATATGGTAGCTCGAAAAAGACAGATTTTTTTTTCCATAAAGAATCTTTTAATGAATTTGTATCCGTATGCTTTCTCTTTTTTGGTTTTTTCTTATTCGTCTTTCCCCAAGTATTCGTAATCTCGTTCACTTCACGATAAATTTCTTCACCTGTAGATATCTTAGGTCGTCTCGTATTTTCATTATACCCGTTGAACCAACTTCTTTTGAAAAGAAATCGATGATCTGGAGCAAGAAATCTTCTATGCCCCATATAGGTGAACTTATGACTATGTGATAACCAATCAGAACATGTATTTTCACGACAAACAGGACATGCAAATTTTCCTTTAGTAGGCCATCCAGATAGATTTCATAAGCTGGAAAGTCATTGATGGTCCACATTAAAATACACTTTAAGTTAAAACTCGCATGACTAAATGCATCAAATACCTCTATCCCATTTGTCCACAAGATTTTCAGGTCGTCTATAAGTGGAGCCAAATAAATATCAATATCATTGCCCGGTTGCCTAGGACCTGGGATCAACAAAGTTAACATTAAATTTTCCTTAGACATGCATAACCACGGTGGAAAATTATATGGAGCTAAGATCACAGGCCAACAACTGTATGTAGAGCGATCCTGAAAAGGATTAAAACCGTCGGTTGAAAGCCCAAATCTCATATTTCGAGGTTCCGAAGCAAACGATGGCCATCTCCTGTTTATCGAGTCCCATGCCAGTGAATCAACAAGATGCCTCATCTTTCCATCGGTACTCTTATTCGTTGAGTGCCACCTTAATTGTTCTGCTATCTCAGCTATAGCGAACATTCTTCTCAACCTCGGTATAATTGGAAAATAACGCAACACTTTTCCAGGAATTCCATTTTTAGTTCCACTGCCATTTTTGTTAACTTTCCATCTCGATGCACCACATGTAGGACACTCAGTTGCGTGTTCAAGCTCATTTCTAAATAGGCAACAATCGTTCACGCATGCCTGTATTTTCTCATATCCAAGTTCCAATGTCTTGAATATTTTTTTTGTTAAATAAAAGGATTCTGGAAGTCTATTTTCATCAGGCAACATATCACGAATCATTTGCATCATGCTTTCAAAAGCACTATCAGTTATGCTAAATGATGCTTTAAACTTGAACATAGTTATAATGGCAGACATCTTTGTGTACTTTGTGCATCCCGGGAATAATGGAGTCTCTGCTTCTCTAACTGTATTATCAAAATCGGTATCTCCAATTGCTTCTGGTTCCTCATAAAATTCGTCGTTTTGAAAATGGAAGTCTTTGTACATCCTATACATCTCAGGTGTTTCAATATTATCATAATGGATTGATCCACTTGGTCTTTCACCGTGTAAAACCCAAAATTTGTAGTTAGGATCAAAGCCTTTTATGACTACGTGTTCATACACAGTATTAAAGTGGTGGTATTGTAGGTTTCTACATAGGAAACAAAGACACAATCATATCTGAATCTCCTCGTGCATGAGCTGCATTGACAAACTTACGTGCTCCCTCCTGATATTTCTCTCCACGTCTACAATAATCAATAATAAAGTTGCAATACTCAATAATAAAGTTAACAGAAAAATCAAACATAATTAAAATTTATTAGATTTAGAGTTAATGAAATCTTTAACCTGTCAAATTTCACCCATTCTTTATCCATCTTTACATATTAATGCAAAGTCTCCTATCACAATAATGCAATCCCTGAAACCTGCATAGAAAGGAAATTCAAACAAAGCTCAATGAAAATTCATTCGAAACACTTTTACAGGGTTTTCTCCATTTTGCTAGCATATTGTGTAATAGGATGATCAATCTGATGCATAAATAAAGTCTAGCTCGGATCATGGAATTATATGACACAATGAAATAACAATACATCCAGAACGACAACAACAATTGCTCGATGAAATAAAAAATATATAAAGAAAAAGAAAATCTCAAATAATGCATTTCTAATCCTCCAAGAAAGCCAACAGGTAACATATCTTAAATTGAGTTTTACATATACGTACATTACATAGAACTATATAAAATTGTGTATTATTTGGAATCCCATGATTCAACGGAAAATAAAAAATACGAATAAATAGCTAAAAATATATTAAGTACTTAAAAATTGGCATAATACATAGAAAAAATAAATACTCATCATAATATATATATATATATATATATTCAAAACCAACAAGATGCATCAAAATTCAATTAGTTCAGATAAAAATTATATAAAGAAAAAAAACAATCTCAAAAACCTTATAATTCTTCTTCTTCCCTGTATGACAGCAAAGTAAAGAAGATCCTTTGTTGCAAAGCTTGGAAGTTCTACTTCGTTAGTCAATCGTTCTTAGTTTTTGTGTCTATGACTCTTGTAAAAAATTAATGATTGAGATAAAAAAAATATATATATATATATATATATATATATATATATATATATATATATATATATAAAGAAAAACAAATCTCAAACACATGATATTTTCTCTTCTTTTTTGCGAGCCAATACAACAATAAAAAGTATTAGAAGACTCCATGATCCTTTTTTTTTCTTGGAGGACATTAACATCGTTATTTGTACCTGGGAGGCCGAAGAATGCATGCCATATCCAAGTATCATGCGACGCTACTGCTTCAAGTATGATAGTGCATTTTTTGTTGCATCCACGGTATGGCCCTGCATGAGCGGTTGGGAAAAATTTCCACTCCCAGTGCATGCAATCTAGGCTCCCCAACATCCCTGGAAAACCACGAGATTCTGCAACTTGTAACAACTTTTCAATGTCTTTCGCATTTGGAGTTCTCAGATAAATTTCACCAAATACCTTGACGATATGACGACAATTTTTTTTAACAAATCTGATTAGAGTTGATTGAGCAATCCAAAAATATTGATCAAATGAATCAGCAGAAGTACCGTAACCAAGAAATTGGATAGATGCACACATTTTTTATAAGACGTAAAACTTTGTCGTCCTGTACTGTCGTACGATTTCCTCCATGAAGTTGAGTGTTCTTTTAAAGCCCCCCTATTTCGTTGAAATAAATCACGACTCATTCGGAATCGCCTGCGGAATTGTGTGTCGTATGTGGGATTTTCACCAAAGTAGTCATTTTTTAGTAGAACTGCGCCAGCTTCCCTTCCACGATCCGTATATGCCTGGCCAACAACAGCCCCACCCCAGGTAACATTATCCTGAGATTGCGAGAAATAATATTGTTGCATCATTTGTTGTTGTTGAATGGTAAGATTCCATGTATAATTAGTGTTTCAAGTTTGAATATCAAACTCGTTTGAAGAATCTTCAGAATCAGATTCATTGGTGGATGAAGATGATGAAGATGATTGGCTTGAAATATAGTGAGATGGTCCTGCTTTGTGATTCATTGTCAGATGTGTAATGGTGTGATGTGTAATACCTTCACCATCATTAACTTATAGAATACTAGTTGCAAGTTACCACCTAAATCATTGCAAGACATACTCTTCTCAATGATTTTTATCTCAAATCAATATATAAGCCCTATCTCAGATATGGGCTTCATGTTTTTGTCTCTTCATATGTTACTTTTTATTTATAATTTTTGTTTTTTGCATCTTCGTATTCTTGCAATTTTGACGTATTTGTTTTGGCTCTTTCTCATGGAGATTTACTAACAAAAAGAGAGAGAAAAATAGACAATTTATTGTGAGGTTCTTTAATAGATTATACTTTATTCAATTCGTTTCAAAAGTAAAAAGTAATAACTTTATTTTAAAAATTTATATGTACCACATAAAATATTCGGATAATTTGATAAACTTATTAGCATATAGATGGTTTTAAAAGTAGAAACTAATAAAATAATTCAATTTAATTTAGTGGGATGCATAGCACTTGCTAACATCTATATGTTGCAGGAAACTTGTGGCTCTGTAGAATTTGTGTAGCTTTTAATGTGTTGTCATTCATGTTTTTTCATTCAGCAAAAAATGTGTCGCCTTAACTTTAAATGTGTATTGGATTTCAGTTTGCAGAAACTATTAATGTGTATTGTAATTTCAATTTGCATAAACTATTAATGTGTTGTCACAAAATCGTGTCGTTAACTTTCATAATATTATTTACTATTTTTATATATACTATTCAATTATTATGTTCTTCACCACTCAAAATCATACTCTCACCATATTTTCCTTCAGACAAATAATATTAGTATTTCTAAAAAAAAATGAGTCAAAGGGGTCTTGCATTCAAGGTAATTGAGGACGAGATTCTTTGTAATGCATATGTACATCATTCAACTGATAGTGCGGTCGGAACATATCAGAGCAAAAACGATTTATGGGCGAAAATACATACTACTACAACCACGAAGTTGTTCATGTAAACAATTTTGAGCAAAGAAACTTGAGGTCGTTAAGTCCTCGGTTCGACAAAATAGTTTCTTCGTGCACATTGTTCCGGGCAGCACTTAATCAAGTTATAGCTCGAAACCAGAGTGGTGGCAATGCTGAAAGCATGGTAAGTATATGTCTTATTAATACTTAAAAATAGTCCATTATAATTTATTCCCAATAAACATTTTTATTACTAACCTTTACAGCTTGCGGAGGCCAAAGAACTATATATCATCAACGAACCCAAAAATCAACCATGTAAGTTTGATCATGCTTGGAAAATATTAAAATTACACGTGAAATGGGCTGAACCTATTCAGCCGAGTACATCATCTCCCATTGGATACGGTACTTCATCTCCTCTTGAAGATAGTTCATCATCTCCTCTTGGACATAGTGACTCACATGACAGACCAAGGGGAATGAAATGAGCGAAAAAAAAAGACTCACAAAGAAAAAGAATCCCATGTGGCAGGAGATGATGAACAATGTTGGAAAGAGCCAAGATCTTATGCAAAAACTGCATGAAGAGTACTTAGATATGCAGGGAAAAAGAGAAGTGCGTTCAGATTTATTGGCAAGCCTTAAGCAGAAAAAAGAAGACACTAGGGAAAAAAAACTGAAATTAAAGGCTTCTGAACAAGATATGGAGGTTATGAGAGTGGATTTGAGTACTCTCACACCCTTTAATAAACAATTCTGGAGTGATAAGAAACAAGCGTAGGGGAAGCAGGTCAGGAGCTGCTAGGAATTTGAATTTTAGTGGAGAGGAAAGTGGACCAAGTGATGAAGATGTTTACATCCCGGAATCTCCAAACAACAACAGAGAATGCAACTATGGCGAACCTACTGGCGATAGACATTTCTCTAATTCGAACTATGATAGTCAAGAATATTAATCTTAGAAAATAAGGGGTACTCTTTCCTTGTTAGGCCAAACAAGGTTTTAACGAGGCC